ATTGTTCTTTCTATAACAGTAATAACAGTACAGATCAACTTGTAATACAATGTCAAGAATACAAGTCCATAGCGCAAGCAGCAGCCCATGTTGTGACCTCTGTCTGTGTGTGTGTGTGTGTGACACCATTGTTCTTTCTATAACAGTAATAACAGTACAGACCAACTTGTAATACAATGTCAAGAATACAAGTCCATAGCGCAAGCAGCCGAAGTAGAACGGGATAAATTGATGGAATTGGTATCTATGCTACAACACAGGTAGGTGTTAAATATCTGTCAACCAATTAGATCTGTTGTTCAGAAAGCAAAATATAACATCAGGTCTGATTGGCTGCTGGTCTTACAAGAAATGAACTCAATTGAATTTGGGAATAATTTAGTGCAATGTAGTTGGAAGCGATGTACTCTAATGACCAGAATTAAAAGTAAACATTAAAAGTGAAAGTTGCTTCCTAGATCAGGTTTTTGAATGAATATCTAAACTAAAAATTGTCCAATTTTCACTGCTAGAAATGCTCATGGTTTCAGGATTCAGATTCCTGAAGACAAAATTATGAAAAAGTCACTCTGTGTGGTAGGACTCCAGAGGAAGTTTCACTGCTATAAAATTTTGTGATTTTGGCGAAAAAACTTATATATTAAACATGTACTGTAAAATACTTTATTTTCGCTTGGAATTAATTTTCGCTATTTCCACTGAAGGAATGATTCAGTGAAAATAAAATCCAACGAATATACTTTTTTTCCTATATTTTACATTCAACTTGTCAAAAATCAGTGAAAATAAATTCCAAACAAAACACCCAAATACCTTTTCAGCAAAAATTAATTCCAGTTAAAATAAAGTATTTTACAGTATGTAAATTAAAAAAGTGGGTGAGCAAGAAGATACTCAATCAGGCATGTTTTCTCATCCTATTCACCTGATTGGTCATGTGACCAGAATGTGCATTAAGTATAGCCTTGAATATTTTTATTGTCAGTGGCAAGGTTTCTATAGTTTAACTATGTTTTAATCTCAGGAATGATGAGTCGAACCAAAAAGTAACAGAATTCCAGTCTAAGCAAGCAGAGCTAAAACAACGAAATGTACAACTGGAAAAACAGCTCGGGAAAGCCCGGATGGAAGTTGCCAACTTGTCAAAATCATCTGGGGTGAAAGCAAAGCGTACTGGGTCCGCAGTGTCGTCGACTGTTATTCTAGACGAAGACTATATGAGAAGCGATTTGCCGCAAACACAAGACAATATAGAAGAGCTACAGACAAGGTAAGAATATAACTACGCGTACCATCCTAATAGACCATTACACTGGTGGCAACTTACGAGCGGAGTTCATGCATTGAAAATGATTAAAAGCACATATATGATGGAGTGATAGATTCAACTCATTGTAGCGAGTTTTACAGGGGGGGGGGGAGAAGTATGTAAAGTTGCGACTTGATACCCCGTCACCTGAGTATCTGAGTAATTGATGGACAGTAAGGTGTTTCCTCCAGCCCTTTATTGACCATTAGTTCTTTTAGTTGGAGCCATCCAACTACTCGAAACTTAGCCGAACTTAGCCGACTTACTGAGGTGCGACTTAGCAAGGGGATACTGTAATTAAGAAAGCTGCTATATGATTGTCGCAGCATTGCATTGTGGGAGGAAATTGTGCGATTTTGCTAAGATTTGAGTTGAGAAAAATGAAAAATACAAGATTTTCTGACGAGATAACAGCAATCATAATTTATGTTCTCATTTGTTTACAGGTTAGCTATTCAGATGGACGAAAACGATGCGTTGAAAGCGGCGTTGCAGAGTACGATGAATGCCAAGGAAGACGATCTCAAACTTTACCACGAAATGATGGATCAAACCAGACAAGTTTTCCTTCAAGGACTAAGACACTTCAAACAACAAAATACATCATGATTATGAGACCGAGTTCGTGCATCTTGGAATTTATCCTGTAAATCGTTTTATTTTCGCAAGAATTGTTTTTGTTTTCTCTTGAGGATTAATCGTCGAAGGGGATATGTATCCTGATCGGGATCCAAATGAAAATGGATTAGAATAAATATGCCAGTCGAGATAATAAAAAAGTCCTGTTTATAGTCTGCACTTTCATTAAGAAGATTGCAACAAAAATAATCGATTTTTTTGAGTAAAAACTGAAAATTGACTCAGATTGTGTCTGTTGGCTCCAAAATTAGTGTTCATTTCCAGAAATATTAAGGAGTTTGAGAAAAAAAGTGAAGAGAAATTTAAGCGCAAAAGTCTGGTGGGGAAAAGGTTAACGCTATT